TATTAAATTATCATTCAATTTTAAAATACTAATATGAAAGAATTAAAAATTCAATTTTACTTTTATATTTTTATATGATTAATTACTCTTAAAACATAAAGCAATAAATTCATACTCAAACTTAATAAAATATTATTGAAGAAGACATTTGTTTTGACAGATATGGAGATCTTACATTGACATAATAATAATAATAAAATACAAATAGAAATTGGATTAAAGTGTGTCATATTGATTAATCAACTGTTGGAAATAATATTTTGCTTAGAGCTAGAATCCATAATTCAAGAATCTAAGGAAAAATTGCTTTTCTTATTCTAAGAGAAAATTGGTATACAATATAAGCCGTTTCTATAAAAGGAGATTCTGCTAGTTCACAAATGCTTAAATTCATAGGAGGAATCCCTCTAGAATCTATAGTTGATGTAGAAGCAGTTGTTGCTGAACCCAATTTTTAAATTAAGTATTGTACATAAAAGGTAGAATTACAAATAAAAACTATTCGAGTTATAAGTAGATCTGCTTCTAAACTTCCAATTTAAATAGAAGATGCTTCGAAAAAAATTGTAGATTTTAATTAAAATTTAGAATATTAATATCAAAATAATTAACTATCCTTAAATTAAAGATTAAATAATAGAGTTCTTGATTTAAGAACTCCTGCTAAATAAGCTATATTTAGAGTTTCATCTGGAATATCATTATTTTTTAGGTAGTTTTTGATTGAATAAGGATTTATTGAAATTCATACACCAAAATTATAAGGATATACAACTCAAAATGATAATATTAAAAATTTTAAACTAAAGTACTTTAATTAAGATGCTATTTTATCATAATCATCTTACTTATATAAATAAATGAGTTTAATGGGTGATTTTGATAGAGTATTTGAAATTTCTCCTGTGTTTTAAGCTATTCATGGTAATACTAATAGGGAATTATGTGAATATACTTGTATGGATTTAGAAATGGTTATTAAAGAACATTATACAGAATTGTTAGATTTGACTGAAGAATTAGCTCTATTTATACTAAAAGAAATTGAAAAAAGATTTTAATAAGAAAGTAAAATCATTTCATAATAGTTCTAATTTGAACCTATTACAATTTCTTAACCAATTATAAGATTGACATTTTTAGAAGGATTAAAATTACTATAATAATCTGATATTATTAAACATCCTATAACCTATATGACAATATCGGAATTAAAATAATTAGGCAAATTAATTAAAGAGAAATTTGGAACCGATTTTTTTATTATGCATAGATTTCCAAGAGAATATGAACCAATCTATGTTATGCCTTGTAAAGATAATCCTGAATTTTCTTTGTCTTATGTTTTATTTCTAAGAGGAGAAGCAATTGCATCAGGAAATTAAAAAATTCATCATCCAGAATTATTATCTCAATAAATATAAAAAGTAGGAATAGATTTTGAATAAAAAAGAGGCTATATTAATTCTTTTAAGTAATATATTATTATCTATTTAAAAGTTATGGAGCTTTTCCTCATGGAGGATGTGCATTTGGCTTAGAAAAATTACTTTATTTGTACTTTGATTTAAAAAATATTAGAAACTCTTCTTTATTTCCAAGAGATTCAAGTAGATTATTTCCTTGATTTTAAAATTTTATAATTAAAATTTAATTAATTTCATTCTAATTTAACTAAAACATGTATTTAACAAAAAGTATACTGATCTTTTTGATTTTAAATCTATTTTTCTAAAACTTACTTGTCCATATATAATTATTATTTTTATATTTTAATCTTGAGTTATCTCTCTATTTGCTTTTAATATTATTCTAAAGCTAAATTATTATTTGATTACCCCTAGCATTTCTTCAACACTAACTTCAAATTATTTTAATTTAGTAATTTTTTTTAATCTATTTTCTTTTAATCCTTTTCTTTTTATTCATATTCTTTTCACTTTAGATTCAACTATAATTTAAGTTGTGATAATTATTAATTAATATCCTCATTAGTATTCTCAAATTAGTGAATAATCTAATTAGCAATTCTTAATTTTACAAAATTTTAACAATATCTTTTAAATAAAAATATTCTATATGAACTATTTGTAAGTCAATTAATAACGAATTATATATTTCTTGAGATTACAAATTCCCGTTCACTAATAGGTTGAAACATTATTATTTAAATTTATTATGTATCTATTTTTTGCAATGTGTTTTTTATTTAAAAAACTTATGTATAATAATGATTATTATTATTTAAAGAGTTTTTTTATTAAATAGATTTTTTTCCTTGGTTTAAAACATTTTCATTTATTTAAATAGACAATTAAATTAGATACTTATTATTGTGAAAAAATGATGAATTAATTACATAATTATTTATTTTCCTAAACAATAAGAGTTTATATAATTAACTTTATTCTTCTATTCTGATTGCTAGTTTTTAAATCAAAAAAAAAATTGAAATCAATTTTTATACTATTATCCATTAAATATTATTAAAATTTATGTTATCAAGACCATTAAACTCTTATAATAATCTAAAAATATTGATATCGTTTTTATTATTAATTATAATGAAATTTTAGGTTTTCATTTTGTTATTAGGTTTAGTTATTTGTGAATAGCTTCATGCTTAAAGTAATTTAAGATATGAGTATTAATTTGCACCATGGAGTTTAGATTGCACTAACAAATGTTAAAGTGCTGGAGGAGTTGTTTGTGGATATGAAACATAAGTTTGTTGTAGATCAGTATTTTTATCTATTATAAAATAAGGGTAAATGCTTAAAACATTGGAAGTCTGAGACATGTGACACTTGGGATAAAATCCATATTTTAAATTGTGTGCCAGGTCCAAGTAGCAAATAATGATATTAAAAATTATCATTTTAAAATATTAATTGATAAGAACAATACTAAAATAATTATAACATATAATATAATTTATTTATGTTTCAATTCATAATATAAACTATTATGAGAGTTAAATTTTCAAAAACTTTTTATATTATTACAATTATATTAATCAAGGTTTAGAAATCCCTTAAATAATATTATGAATTAAAATATATTTATTTATAATACTCTTTTAAGTAATCAAAAGAATTAAGATTAAAAAAGATAATTGTTTATTGATAGAATAAAAATCAAATTTAAAAATACTAACAACATATTAATCTATATTTTTATGTTGGTTTAATTCTTCTAGTTCTCTGAAAGACTATTAAATTTATTAATAAAAATAATTTACATTCAATTTCTATTTCATATTAACATAATAATTAAATCTTGGACTGTTTATAAACTATACTCTGTTTTAAGACATATATCTCTTTATATAATTTTTAAATCAAAAGTAAATGTAACTTCATAACTATACTTTTTTTTATTTGCTGTAATTCATTTGCATATATGCAAACTCATTAGCTTTATTTTCTTTATCATAATCAGAAGAAAACTTTTGAGATTAGTATTATAGTTGATTCATTATTAATTAGAAAATTAAATTAAAAATTTTAAATAATAAATTAAAGTCACTTTTTCATTAGCTTTTCAATCTAATCTTTCCATTTTAAATGACCTGTTTATGGTATGAGATTTCCTCTTATTAATTTTTGTTTATTTTGGTCTTACTAATCTGTTTCATTTTTCCAAATATCTATAGGTTATTCAAGTCTTGTAGCATTATTTTTATCTTCCTCTATTAATTTTTTTTGTTTTTATTAATAATGTTGGTTGTCATCTAAGCTTTTTAAGTTTGGTTATACAAGACGTTTAGCAGCCTCTTTATTTAAAGTCATTTGTTTTTAATCACTTTATTTAACTTATGAAGGCATGTATTTTTAAAAAGCTTCTTATATTCTTGTAAGTTCATTCATAATAGGATGAGTAGAAGTTTCTACTTAGTTTAATTTTAAATATGCTATATATGAATAAAAGTAATTATACAATAATAAATTGATGATAAAGTATAAGCTAAGTTTAGATTAAGTTCAATTTATTCCTTATTAGTCATTCCCTCTGTTATTTCATCTAAATTGCCTTATTCTGAAAGTTTCTAAATTATTATATTTAGTTTTGATAATTCTTCTTAAGTACTTTAAAGTGTGGTTTAAATACTCATTAATTGTTAATTATTATTATACAATATTAATTAAAACTAAAAATAAAATAATAAATCACTCATTTTCATATAGTTAAACTTTTTTTCTGATTTTTATTCATCTTCAAGTTATTTAAAATTTAAAATATTCCAAAAATATTCAATTTAGTTTAGTAATTCTTTCGAAATATTTTTTATTTATTCATCATTTAAATTTTTAATCTAAGCTACTTCTATTTCAAATTCGTAATCTGTAAATATCTAATCTTCAAATATTTATTCTATTTTTGTTTAAATATTAGTTTATTTTGATTCAGTGATTTCATTAAGAATTTTTGAAAATACAAGATTTTTTTTGGACATAGAAGCTACTTTAGAAATAGAATATTCTAAATTGTTTTCCTTCACTAACAATTTTTATTTTAATCTGATAAAATATGCATTCTGTTATCTTTTTGGGATTGAGATAACTATATCTTTAAGAAATTTTGATAAAGTATTTTCTTGATTTAGAGTTATTCTAAATTGAATCTTTTCATTTATAATATCAATATTTTCTTATTTTTTTTTTACTTTTCTATTAATACAGCAGATATTTAATCATTGATTAGTTAAAAGGAATTTTTTTACTATTTATTTAATGAAATGTGTAATTGTTTAATTAAGACTTAATTTGGCTTTTATTTAAGATAATCAAAAGCATTATTATACTATTATCTGTTAATCTAAGATTCAAATTAGTATTTGATATTATTTTTATCTAACTATTCCATTCCTTTTATAGACTCCATAAATTTTATTCTTTAAAATTTCCTATTTTAGCTTCTAATTCATAGATTATCTAATTCATCTATTCATTATATTCATTTTAATGATCTCGGATATCCATTTAATTAGTTGATCTTTTTTCATTTTTAATAAAAGAATTTTGATATAAATTAATTAATATTTAAAATAAAAAATATTCTAGTTATCAATTAATTCGAAAATATATATAAATATAAATATATATATATAATTAATATATATTATATGATGCTAAATCAAAATGATCTAAAATTTTTATCAATTTTAATGCATGCATCTTCCAATAATTTTAACAAAGCCTCAGTTGTAGCTTCCCTCTCTCTTCTTTCAAAATTGATATCTTGTTATAATTTTCCATGTACATCTTCTATCATTCTAAATATTTTTCCTTATGTTTCTTCTCTAACCTTCTTTTCTATAAGCAATTAATCTGAAAACTTATTTATTTCTGAATCAATTTATTCAGTTAATGATTCAGCAGATTCTTCTCTATTTAATAATTTATTTATTAAATACCTTGATTATCTTTCTTAGTCTAATTAATTTTTTACTACTTAAACTTATTATAAAACTTCTGCTATTTTAGCTTAACTTCTATCTTCATATTAATGAGTGTTTCTAGTTATAGTTAATGTTATTTATGCAAATCTTTCATCAATTTATTTTTAGAGTTTTGTTTCGGCAATTCCTCTTGCATTTTTTTCTTACTCAAATGAAAGTGCAACATTATCAGATAATATTCTAAAATCTTTCTCTTTTTTATCATCAAACGCCTTTTTTTATAAGAAATAATTACCTCTCTTTCAGATTTTTGATTATGTGCATTATCTTACAATTTTAATACTTGATCTTTTAATACCTTAAATCTCTATTCATCCTTTGGTTTTTCTTATGATAGAACATCTTCAATTATTTTTATTCTCTCCTCTAATACTTCTCTTTTCTCCAATTTATCTTTATCAATTCCATTCTAAATGTGATTCCATTTATCAGATAATAACTTGATTCTTTATCTAGAAGGTGAATCTAAATCTTGACTGAGATAATTGACATTTGATCTTTAGGGACTAGATAATTATGATCTAGATAATTTCGATGTTGTTAATTTTGATGTAGAAAGAAGCATATTAAAATGATATTTTCTAAAATAAATTTATTTACAATTTATTTCATTTCACTATTTTATAAATTGCTATATTCATTTAATTTTCTTAAAAACTAAAATCCTTACTTTTCTATCATTTGTTTTTATCCTTATTTATACTCAAATTATTGTATATATTTTGTTCGTGAAATCTATCATTATTAATAAATTCCTATTACAAACTTAAAAAACTAAACTAACCTATATTGCTGTTCTCTTAAGGGGATTTCTAAAATTATTACATATACATTTGTATTAAAAATAATTTATATTTTGTGGATTAAACCTAAAAATAATATATTTCTTAATTATTTAATTTTATTGAAAATCATAATCAAACTTCCTAATTTAATACATTTTCTAAACTAAAAATTATAATAAAAATAATTATATTAAATCTATGGACAACAGAGGAATAATTTTAATTATTTAACCAACTAATATATTTTTTCCTTTAATATTTTAATTCGAAATTTGAATAAATGAAAAAAATTTGCTTAAGAAATATAATAAATTTATTTAACAAATTTTAATGATGCAATTTAAGAGTTTAGAAGAACAAATCTAATATTAGGAAAAGAATATTGAATATTTGTAACAATAAAATTTTGATTTACAAAACTAAATATCTTAATATGCATAATTCTAACAGTTAGGAATTACAATTGAGGCATTTTAATCTTTGCAGAATAATAACAAAGAATTTTCACAACAAATAAAATAATTGCAAAAAGAGAATAAAAATCTACTAAAATAGATATAAAACAATTAAGTTAAATATTATGATAAAACATTATCAAATTTGTAATAGGAAAATGTAAAATTGAAGAATGAAATAAGATAATTACGGCAGAGAATTTCATCGCCTTCTAAACTAGATAAATCAATAGTATAATATAGTACACCATAAAAATAACTAAATCCTAGTGCAATTCTTAAATCGACAAAAGATCATCCAAAAGATGTAGCAAGCTTACTATTTATTAAAGGTTCCCAAAATTTCAAATCTCCATATATAGATATAATAAAAGGAAAATTCGAAAATGTTAAAGTAATCAAATAGCTTAAATCAGGATTAGAGCAGTCCTATTTTGATACTTTTCATTTCGATGTAATTAGTCAGGATCTCTAATACTCACTTCAACAATTAGATAGACAGCATAGCATTCATTAGGGTAAAGGAATTTTATTATCAAATTAATTATGTTTGATTTTTGGGGCATCAAGAACAAATAAAAAGCATTTTCTAATATAATATTTAGATACATTAATAATGTAAATAAAATAGTAATACGAAATCTTTTAATAAAATGAAGACTATAAATAATTAACTGTAAAGATTGTATATGAGGAATTCTTGAATGGTTAGGCTAAACATCCATGTGATAGTGAGATAATTCTTAATAAAGAATAAAGTAAGAAAGAAATTGAGAGCAATGTAAGGGAAATAGAATTATAAATATCAAAATTGAGATTAATAATACTTAACAAGCTTAAAATGACAATTAAAGATAATAGTAAGAGATATGTTAAAGTAAGAAAGCTCTATATTGAAACTGAGTTAGAATTTCTAAAAGAGACTCAAATGAAAAAGTTTATATGTTTTACATCAAATTAGAATTTGAATTAGAAGTAGTATTAAAATGGAGAAGAAGGCTTAAATGAATCTTTAGCAATGAAGGATAAAGGAAAGGAATTAACATAAATTCTAAAATGGCCATAATTATAAATATCATTAGTTTTATGTGTTCATCCAACAATTCCAGATTATGCCATGACAGTTAATACTTTTTAATTATGTAAATTTATAAGGAATTTGAAATTAGTATCAGATTCACCTCAAAATTCAGATAAATTTTCATAAATTTTAGAGAATAATAATGTAAATAAATAAAATATTAATTAGAAATCACTTGAATAGAACATAAAGAAATTAAGAGAGAAAATAAAGAATTTAGAATCTGATAATTAAAGAGTTAGAAAGTAAAGTTTAATTTTGGAAGCAGAAAATGAAGAGGCAGTTGAAAAGAATAGAAAATTAAAACAATAATTGACAAATCTAATAAATTCTTTATAGTAATTGTAAATGAATTTTTAACAGTAAATTTCAGCAAAGAAATCATTATCATTGTCAAAAACAAAAAGTGCAATAGTATCTGATAATAAAACAATATAGACTCTTGAAAAGGCTTAAAAAAGCATATCAACATTATTATCTTAGAATAGTAAAATAGATTTAACTGTTAGTCCATCAAAAGTTCAGAAGACAATTCCTTCTGATTTACTTATGGTAAAATTAATTATAAAATTATAAGGTGAATGATGATGAAGAAAATTAAGATGAAGAAGAAGAATATTAAGAAGAAGGAGAAGATGGATAAGAAGTTGAAGATTAGATGGATGAAGAAGAAGTAGATTCTGAAGAGCCATCAGAAGAGAATGAATCAGAGGGATAAGATATTTAATAACCTAGAAAGGAGTCATCAATATCAATGATATGAGTAATGTTTATTCGTTTTTGAATATTTTAATTAAATGAAGATTATTTTATTGGTTTTTTTGATTGGAACTACATTAGCAAGAGATGAAAGCTTTTTTGCTTAATTAAGAAATAGTGATTTTGGAAAAACAATCATTTAAACTCTTTAGGTCTAATTATCTTAAGAACATGCAGCAGACACAGTTGTTCATCTTTTAAAATAAATGAAAGATGACCTAAACAATGAATAAAGAGTTGAAGATGATGAAATAAATGGATAATTAAAAACATGTTAAGATGCTTCAAGTGCTGCTTCAGCTGTTTTAACTATTGCTAAAGAACGTAAAGCAACATCAGAAGAAAGATTACCATTACTTTAATAAGAATAAAATGATAAGAAATAATAATTATTTGATAAATAAGGAGAAGAATAAAGAAATTTAGATAGAATTAGTGTATTATAAGAAGCTAGAAATCTTTTAAGAGTAAATTAATTATAAAATGTAATTAGTAAGAATTTGAGCAAAGAAGAGATGAATTAGTAGGTTTAGTTTCTGCACTTTAAGAAGCTAAGAAAATCTTATCTTAAGGAATTGGAGCATTAAAAAAAAATAGTTTTGTTGAATTGAAAAATCATCATCAAAATTTCTTAAAAAATTATCCAAATAAAAAAGGATTTCATAGCATGGTTGAAGTACTCTTGACTGTTTTATAAGAAGAAAGTACTTAAGAAAATGCTGCATAAAAAGTTGTTAAAATTATAGATACACTTGTTGATAGCATTTTCTAAGTTTAAAAAGAAGAAATGAAAGCAGATGATGCTAGAGAATTAGACTTTTTAACATAAAAAGAAAGATTACTTTTAGCTAATAGACGATTATCTGGTAGTGTCGCTGATTTAAATGCTGCTAATGAAAGAATCGGATAAAAAATATTAGAAATCAAAAATGATATTGCTATTCAAGATTCTGTATAAACAATTATATTAATTTTAGATTATTTTCAATAAATCTACAGAATAGACAGATTGGGATTAAACATGTAATGATACAGAAAAGGCACATAGATTACAAACTGAATAAAGGTAATTTAATTAATTATAAAAAGAAATGCTTAATTAGCCATTATTGTTGAATGTATCGATATTTTTGAAACCAGATTTGATATGGAAACAAAAAGCTACATATAACGACTTAGATTCTGAATCAAATGTAATTGACACAATATAAAAGCAATAAAAACGGATTTCTAATATTATTTATTATTCTTAATGAAGTTTTCTTTAGTAATACCAATTCTTTTAATAATAGGGAGCATGGCTGCTGATTTTGATTAATAAGTTGAAGAATTATAGAACTCCAACTTTGGATAAACAATATTACAAACAATTTTAATGGAATTGTAAACAGGTGATCCAGTAGTTTCTAACCTAATTAATATGATCTAAAGCTTGGAAACAACTTTAGAAAATGAATAAGAAAGAGATGATAAAAGAATTGCTAGAATTTAATAAAACTGTGATATAGACATAAATACATTGAAAGATTAAATAAATTAAAATACTGTCAATTCATTGACACTGAAAAGCGAATTAGATAGTTTGAATCCTTAAAAAGTATCAGCAGTAGCTAGTCTTGAAAGAAAAAATAATGAAATTAATGATCTTAAGACAGAACTTAATTATTAATCACATAAAAGAGAGACAGAGACATTGACCTATTAGGTAATTTTGGATAATTTGGAATAAGCACTTTTTGGAGTCAACTAAGTTAAAGGATATTTTAATAGCTATTTAGATGTACTTGTAAAGAATAGAAAAAGATTTGAAAAACCAGAATCATCATTTTTACAAGAAACCTACAGTTTCAAATATGATTAAACAGAAATTGATGATGTAGATGATTAAGGAATGTAATTTACATCATTCACTTAAGTAGCTGCTAAAGTCAATAAATTAAAACATCACGTAAATACAAATTCTTATCTTAGATTCATTTAGAAGGTTACAGAGCTATGATTGAAATGATGAGTCGTTTAGCTAATAAAGCTTAAGATGAACCATCATAAGCAGAAGTGTTAACAAGAAAAGTTTTATCGATTTTGAAATAAATAGAAAATTACATTCAATCTGAAAGAATCAGAGAAGACCAAGCAGAATCTTTGAGACAAGGAAATTTCGATTTACTCAAAACATTACTTTCAGATTAATTAGTTTAAGCTAGTTAAGATAGAACATATATGGAAGGTATAAATTATCATAGTTATGAGATTAGGACTAGTTGAATCCTTATCAACAAGAATTCAGCAAGCATCTAATGAGAAATTTGAAGTTGATTAAAAAATTGTCACAAAAACTAAGGAATTAGATAATAGAGAAACGGATTGCAGACTTAAAAATAATGAATATGAAACAGACACAGCTAATAGGTAGAGATTTTGATAATAATGAAATAGAATTAAATAAAAGAGAGTAGTAGCAGTTGCCGTTGATTTAATCTCATCAAAATTAGGACAACTTAAAAGAAAATTGCTTGCCAATTGAGTTTCATATAAAAATTAAAAACCAAATAATATATATATTCTTTGAATAAATAAATCATAGTTTAATGATTGAAGCTCCTTGAGATGGTTAAGTTGAAAATATATGATTTTAGTTTTCAATATGATTATAAAAGAACTCTATGATCTATTATAAATAATTTAATTTACTTTATTTTTGAAAATCTTAGATTCTTATTCTTTGACCAAACTAACTGTGCATCCTCCCCATCCTGCTCCTGTTAATCTACTGCCTAAAGCTCCATTTTTAATACATAGAGTTGTTAGTTTATCTATGTTATCTGATGAGCATTCATATAATTCTTTACAGGATTTCTAACTTTGATTCATTAACTAACCTAATAAAATTGCTTTAATATCATCTGAAATTTTAGAATCACATATATTTTTAAATTTTATCACTCTTTAAGCTTCCCTAACTACATGAATTAATCTATTGTAAGGATTGACATTTTAATTTTAATTTAAAACTAATTCAAAGTATGGAATATCACTTAAGAGTTTAGGTAGATTTAAATATTGTAATTATTCAAAATCTAAATCTCCTTTTGGAATAAATCTGCAAAGTTCTTCCATAGATTCAAGTGATAATTACAAATGATCTTATAATTATTTTAAAGTTCTAAAATTAGTTTCAAGATTTAATGCCAATTCTATTAGTTTAATTCCAATTCTACATTCTACTACTCGTTTATTATAATGTTTTCCAAGTGTTTCAAGTTTAGTTGATTCTGTTAATGAATTTGCAATAATAAATGAATATCCTTTTGGTAAATTAACTTAAGTCAATTTTAATGGATCAAATTCAATATATAATGCAGATCCCTCCTAACCAAAAACAGATATTGTTTAATCCATTCCTCCACATGCTGTACCAGCTTCTCTTTCAAATTTAATTATTTAATTAACAAATTAATGTCTATCAATATCTTATTAAGTTTTTCCACTAACTTATAAACTCATTAATGAAGATGCCACAACCAAAGATGATGAAGATGATAATCCTGAAGAAAATGGCAAATTACCACTTATTAATATTTTTATTCCTTAATTTGCATTACCATATTATATTCCTGCTTTGTATCCAGCTAATACATATTTAACATAATTTTGAATTTCATTGTATTCTTCCTTTGGATTCACTGAAAGACATGTTTATTTAAACTATTAGTCATCAGCATGTTAAATCTATATCTCATTTCCATCTATTGCAAATAACATAAAACAAGATTGTTCTAATGCAAATGGCAATACTCCATATCCCATGTAGTCAATATGTTCACCAATTAACTAACATTTAACATAAGATTACGTTAACTCTTCCAGGAGCTTTAACTAAAAATTCAGGTTGAAGTCCTTAGTATCTCTGAGTAAACAATTCAATCAATTATTAAATATTCATTTTTTTATATTATCAAAATTTTTAACCTTTCTTTATTTCTTATATAAACTTAAACCATAACTGATTAAATTTTTATTAATAACTATTATAATTTGTCATTTATTTTTTATTTTCAATCTTAATTGGCTTCTCACCATTAATTTATGTTTTTTTCATTAATTCTATCTAATTAATTTTTCCACATTTGACCTCCACATTTTACTGTCAATAAAGCCCTGTTGCTTTTATCCTTATCATATATAGTTAGTTGCCTTAAGATATAGTTTTCTAACTTCTATTTTATCAATTTCAGTTGTTTATCATATAATCTTAATTTGTTTTTATACGTTTTCTATAATTTATATTTAAGTTAGTTTTTGTGTAGGAATTTAACCACTTGCTAAATAACTTAATTAAACAAATGCATTATCTCTTAATATTGACAATATGTGTCCTTATAAATGATCTGCTGCATTAAATGCAAAGTGCAAATGAATCTTATCTTCAGATTACTGATTATAGCTAAATATTTTTATTCTAATTTTTCTGGATGATTAATTTTAAACACATTAAAAGCTTCAATAAGTTATGTTCTGTAAGAAATATTTATCTGGAGATGGGTGCATAATATCAATTACTTTTTATTATATATAGTTTCCTTCTTCCATTGATTTAAAGCTGTGATCATCATTTTTTTTACTATTACTATTAATGAAAGCCTTTATATATGGATCTATCATAGATAAGTTCACCTACAAATGCTAATCTAAACAACAATATAGTTTTTTCATTTATATAAATTTATCAATTTTGTTTAGGTTTTTTAATCGAAAATTCAAAAATAAATGAACTATCTTTAATCATTACATGAGTTTTCAAATAAATTTTTTTGGTTTTTTAGTAATCAATTGATTTCAACTATGTAGAATTTATAGAATGAATTTACTAATTCTTAATATTTAAATATATATAAAAAATATATATATTGTTTTAATCAAGAATTAATTTACAAACAATTTTCTATAATGAAAGGAGCTATTGAATGTTTTAGCGATTTTTTATTACCTGAGTGTTATTTGTAATATCAGAAAATTTATTAATTAATTAGAGCTTGGAGCTTAGAAATTATATGTTTGATTTGCCTAGGAATTGTTACTTACTTCATAATAAGGAAACCATGTAGAAAATTAATGCGTAACTCTACAAAAATATAAATACTTATTATGTTTTCGCTTATTTGTATGATTTTTAATAATGCTAGTTTACTTTATATACAATCTCAGAAGAATTCATAGAACATATTATTTTCTTGAGGAATTATTTTTTTCTGTTTATCAAGCATGCTTAATTTTCTATTTTGGAAAAAAATTAGTTGAAGGAGGAGCATAAAGAAAAAACCTCTTGACAATTAGACTAATTTTTAGTATTCTTCTAATATTAGATTTTATCACTTTTATTTTATCAATGATAGAAGCAAATTCAAAGGAATTAATGTGTAAATGTAAGTACAAGTATTTACAATTAGATTAGAAATTTCATTTACAGTTTTCAGATCTGTTAGCTTGATTACATAAATAGCATTTCTAATAGTTGCATAAAAATTGCACAAAAAGTTTTAATAAAATTAATAGATTCTTCTTATGGATGAACAGCAAACCAAACAATAAAAATACCATTTCATTTAGTTAAAGTAATTTTATTTAATTATTTCAAGAATATTGTGTTACATAAGTTTCATTGGATCAATAATACTATTGATAGTTAACTTCTTATATATGATATCAGCTGATTGTAGAATCATTAGCCATTTTGGAAATGAAGGTCAAAATTTTTCAGATGTACTCAATATTATAATACATGCTTTTGTAAAAATAATGACTTATTTTTTGCCAATAATTCTAACTTTAGCCATATTTAAAACAAAGAGTAAATAAGAAATTCATGATGATTCTATATTAGAGACTGAGGATTTTTATATTAGAGGCTGAAGATATAATTTTCATTCCTTTTTTCAAGGGTTAACTTTAAAACTTGATTAAAGTTTTTAATTTAAAACTAAAAATATATCAATCTCATTTCACTTTCTGTTTGGTAATTTTAATCTGTTTATTCAATATGAATAAACATAGATAATACAATTAATATAAACGATCCAATTTTATTAATTAATCTTTCAATAGTACTTTTCTTAAAACCATTTTAATAGATAAAATAATATAATAAAAAACACTTAATTAATCATTATATTTGGGGTAATCTTTATTAATTTTTGGCATACAATGCTAATAAATGCACAAAAGTATTAGGAGGTTATTTTTTTTTTTTGTTTCCTCCTTTTTCTTTTTCTTTTTTTCTATCCACAAAATAATAATGGAGAATAATCTTGATTTTTCTCCATAACATTTTACCAGGTGTGATTACAAATGCTGCAGGATTTCTTCTTTTTATTTCTTCAGACAAAGCAAAAACCCATGAATTAATCTAAAATTAATAAATAAAATAAATACTTATAAAGGTTAAACGTAAAAATCCATAGATCTTGTTTTCATAATCAAAGAGAAACAGAGCCAAGGTTCTAATTTATCATTGTAAGATTTTCTTAGAACATCTGTTACTTTTCCATAAAATAACCCTCTTATATCAGAAACTTAATAGGAATTTACAGATTTTGGATCATTAATATGTTTATTATTTTAAGCCCATCTAAAAGTACCATCATTTGCTAATATAAAAAATCTTTCTATTCTTCCATTTGAAGACTTATTACACTTTGTTAATTAATCACCTAACATAACTGTTCTATAAGCAGCATTAAGGAGACTTACATTTTTTAATTTTTGAGACTTAGTTATGGAAACAATCATATTCTATCCCTGCTTTATTTAAGAGGAATTAGATTAAGATTTTGAGAATTTTAAATTTGCTGATTACGATGATGGTTATTATTGTTATTGTTATTACTATTACTATTATTATTATTATTGTTATTGTTATTGTTATTAAAATAATTATTATTATGTGTATTATTACTATTATTATTATTAAAATAATTATTATTATGTATATTATTACTATTATTATTATAAATTTGTAGCTTTTGGTTAATTATTTCCAGTAAAACCCATAGTTTATGATCCAAATTAACCACTATTTTTATATGGTTGCTATTCATATTGATTTGTATAGATTGTTTATTACTTTTATTATTGAAAATCATTTTATTCAATTTAGTTATTTTAAGAAAAGTTATTTTGTAAAGGATTAGTATATTATTAATATTAATTATTTTAATGTTAAGTAGGATTTTAACCTCTAACTATGTAATTTTATTAATCATTTGTTGAATGATAAGACTAAATATTCAATTAATTTTGATAATCATGATTAACTTAGCTTTATTATGAATTATATTATGAATTCATAGAATCAAGTTATTTCTATCTATTAGATTAGTATTATGGCTATTGATGTGTTTAATATTACGAATTTTAAATTTATTGGTTAAATGGTTAATTAGTTTAAAATTTTGAATTAAATATTGGCTATTAGTAATGTTGTTGACCTTAATCATCTTCTTCTTACTTTAAGTAGTAAAGATAATTTAAGAAGGGTTATAATTACAATTTCAAACAAATTCGATTGAATTTAATCAAATGTGATTTAATAATATTGACAGACTCTTTTGTAAATGGTAAATTTTATAAATAATTTTCATAAGGTTATTATTAGTCTAAAAGTTTTAAAGAATGTTCTAATTATGCAATAGATTATGATAATAAAGAAGCATTCTCTACTTCTTATTAAGACATTTAATGATAACAATATTATATTGCTCGTTTGAGTCTCAATTTTAAGGCAAGTTTCCAAAATTCATCTTGTTATTTAAGTGCTAAAGGCTAAGATAATAATTATTAATTCTTTTAGTAACTTAATTATTATTCTAATTTTTAAAGAGATGTTGTTATCTATAAATTCTCTAAATATATATACTTCTCTTGCACATTATAATTTTTTTTCACAATCTTTAAATAAAATTTCTGGGCTTATTCCTCTTAATTCAGGTGATTACATACATTTTTACAATTATTGTACATAATCTTTACAATCCATTCTTTCATTTTATGCAATAGTTAAAATTCTTCTTAACGTAATAACAATAAAACCATTTTCTTTTTATTCATACCATAATTTTAACGCTTTTTAATGATATTTAAAAGCAAGAGTCATATCTCCACATAATTCACGATTTAATCCCATTGAAGAATAGAAACAAGCTAAACTTTATCCATCATCTATGAAAATAATTTAAATTTATATACACTTTTACTCTAAATTTTCAAAATTACCATCTCCCATAGCTTCAAATGATTAAAATCTATAATATATATACATTAATTCTTTAAATAGTTAATATTAAAATGGAGGTTATCTAAAAATTAATGATTTTTACGCTGAAACAATTAATTGAATTGCTTAATCATTATAATCTTTACATTCTTAAAATTCTGTTGTTATCAATTTTATGATAGCTAAATTTCCCTATTTTTATATTTAATCTATAAATACTAAAATCTTAATTAGTAATGCACATTTGAAATCATTTTTTCTGTCTAACATAGTAAATGCTTCAAGCAGTTTTTCGGTTGCTTACTTATAATCGCAATTATGAAAATAAATAATCCCTAAATTAGCTAGAATTATAGCCATTCTATCAATATCTTTAAATTGATATTTGTTAATACCTCTTCCTGCTTCTTAACAATTCAAAGCTTCTTCATATAATTTTATAGCTTGATTCATATCTCTTAATTAAAATTGACTATGAGCATCCAAAAGAAGTTAATTAAATTGAATTTGATTTGTGTTAAGAGTGTCCTCCTAATTCATAATTTAAATTAAAATATTGAATCTAAAATAAAATACAATATGGTTATATTTCATTCATAATATCCTAATACACCATATAGAGTCCCATAATATTTATCCTTTACACATGTAACTTCAATTGGATTAGATACTGCAATTTCCATTTATTCACTTATTGTAAAGGTAAGCAAATTTAATTTGGCAATTCTAACATCATTCTCTGAGAAACAAATTATATCTTCATAATAAAATGAAGCATATTAACATGGATGATTCATACTACCTAAAGCTATCATTTTTTCATCATAATAAAATAGATGCGCTCCCTTAATGTAATATATTAAATTAATACTTTAAAATTCTCATAAATTAAAAAATATTTATCTTTAATATCAAATCCTTTTATTGGAATATTGAAATTATGTACAAATTATCCATCATTTGAATGAATGGCAGTTTCAGTAGCAAAATAGATAATATTTTGGTATAATTTTAAATCATATATTGGTTCAGAAAAAGTATAATTATAAACCAATTATAGCTATTCATTTAAAATATTTATTTTCCCTTATTAAGATTCTGTAAATCCTGCCAAATAAATATTATTATATTATTCCATTTTTTCTATTTAAAAGTTTTATTGAGATTATATTTTTAATTAATCATCAAAATAACTTAACAATAAATTTTAAGTTGTCAAAACAATCAAATGATCTTTAAAAAATCTCAAATTTTTTATTTCTAAATTTTTAATAAACTTTAATTCTCTACATTATGAACTTGATCCTTAACTCAAAGTAACAATTTAAATTTCATTTTAGACAATACCTATTAACTTATCATTTTAGAAACTTATATCATACAGATGATCCCAATTAACTATAATCTATGAGAGTTGATTATCAATCATATAAATATGATGTGAAAAGATTATAACTTTATTATTATATTTCATCAATTTTATTGGATGAGTATTGCTAATTTAAAATATTTTATGAACTCTATATGTATCAGAAACTAAAGATACCAAATTACCATCAATTAAGCCTAATAAAATGAAATTCTATGTTTATTCAATTGAAACAATTGTATTATTAATGTTATTAACTACATAATTTTATTTATCATTAAAATTATGTAATTCAAATTAAAACCAAATGCTATAATGAAGTTTCTTATTGATAACCTAAAATGCACTTAAATGATTGATGACTTATTAAGATTAAAAAGTAATATTGTTATCATTAATTGTGTATAATCTTAATTCATTATTGGCAAAGTAGAGATATAATGCTTTATTAGCTATATCTAATCTACAATCTTTGATTTTATCATAGAATTCTTCTTAATATATAATATTTTCAAATTATTACAGGAATATTACTTTATTTACAGTAATTTAGAGTAAAACCATACTAGATATTTAATGAATTAATAATGTTTTCTAGTTTTTAATTACTTTGATATCAGCAATAATAAATTGAGGAATAGTGTAAATTTCAGATGATGAAGAGAATGTAAGCATTATTAAGGATGAATTTATGAAAAAAACCTTTCTAGGTCTCATTTCATTAGTTAATTTATATCTTTCTAAAACATTTTCATTAATCCCTTTTCTAAATAAACTAACAGGATATTTCTTATTATAACTAGCAATGAAACAAATTTAATTACAAGGATGTATATCAACAATTTAACCTAAATTATAGAACTCCTTAATAATCTAATTGTCTTTAACAAGAATTGAATTATCATTAATGGAACCAAAAAAAGTTTAATTATTGAATTCCACTACACAACTAACTCTAAATTGAAAATTTATGTTAAATTCAACAACTTCTTGATTTTACATCTAATACAATTTATTTTCACTTTACAATAAGAAACTATTTTGATATAAAAATATCTATTCAATTTAAGATCCAAATTCAATATGATATAATTCTTCACATCTATTTAAATCAATAATTGTTAATTATGGAAAAACTATGCTTTGATATAGAAAGAGAGGTTAGGTTTTGGAAATGGAATAAATTTGTTCAACACCCATTTCAATATCCATAGATTTATGAGATTAAACAATATTACATTCCATTAATTTTTATTTAATCACGTAAGTTATTTAATTGGTTGGATTTGGTGCAAAACTGACAATTTTATTTTTTTTGACTAAATTTTCAATCTCATCTATTCTACACACTTGATATTCATATTGATAATCAAGTACAATAAAGTCTTTATAAGGGTAAATAGCTAATGGTATTTATGGAAGTGTATAAGAAGATAGTAATTCTAAATCTTAATTAACAAATTTGATGCAATTATCAATGGTAAAAATGACTATAACATTATCCTATAATTAGTATATTGTCTTAGCATTGAATTAGTATTTTTAATCATTGATGTAAATAAATGGAGGGGAGCACAAATAAAGATTAGACCTGATTTCGAAAGCACTTGTAACACATAATGACTCAAATAAATTATTTAACATTTAATTAATAATGGCATTTAGAAATATTTATACAGGTGGTGCTTGTAATGCTGATGGAACTTAATAGATGAGTTAAAATCCATTTAAGTAATTTATGGATAGAATGTTATTCGGCTAAACATAATAATAGTATATAGTTAATTTAAGAATGTTAGATAAATATAATAATAGATAAATGTTCAATAAGATCCAATGGTTTAATAGAAATTGTAAGAACGTTAAAGATTATTTGAGAGTATGAATTAATAATGGGATGTTATGGCTAAACAATATGATTAGGCAAATGTAGAATAAAGATAAATGATGGAAAAGATGTTTATAGAAGAGCAAAGAAAATATGAATAGGCAATGATGTAGTAATAGATGATGATGGATTTTTAATGGTAATAAGCAGAAATCTAATATTAAGCAGATTAAATGGCTTAAGAATATTTATTTTAAGAAGCTTATGAAAATGCTGAAGATTTATAAGCATAAAGTGAAAAATCATAAAGATTTGCTGATGATTTAGTTTAAACATTAGAAAAGGATCCTGATCCAAGATTTCAATAATCAAAATTTTTAAGATTTATGAAAGATATTTAGAGTGGCAATCTAAAATTAATAGGAAATGAATTGATTACATAAAAGGGTGAGAAAGTAGAATAATCAGCATTAGAAAGAATTTAGACTCTAGAAGAAGGATGGGACTAAGCAACTAAGAATGTTGAATAAAAATAATCAGATTTAACAGAAGTAGAAGAGAAATTTTCAAAGATGTGGGAAGAAAAATTAGATAAATATGAAAGTGAATTATAAAATGAAGATTAATTTTAAAAAAAGCTTGAAGACACTTATTAATAAATTTTAAAAGAAATGGATACTGGAACAGATTTCGACAAAATGTTTTCTGATGCTTGGTAAGCAGCATCTGATTTATAAGAATTTGAATTATATAAAGATTCTAATGATACATATAGATTTTAGGAAAATAATAAGTATTTGACTATGGATTTTCCTATATAAGCTGCTTTAAATTTAGTACATTAAGGTTAAAATACAGAAGCAATACTTGCTTTAGAAGCTCATATTCAAAAAAATCCAGCAGATTCTAATGCTTGGAGAATTTTAGGTAGATTACATTAAGAAAATGATTAAGATTAAAGAGCTGTAGCTGCATTCTTAAATGCTATGAAATAAAATCCTAATGAATTAGATACTTTAAGTGCTCTTGGTATATCTTGCACAAATATTCTTGATGAAGTTAAGGCTATGTCCTTTTTAAAATAATGGTTAATAAGAAATCCAAATTATAAGATTGCTGTAGATGATAGCATTGTACCTGATAATACAAATATTTATGATTATACTATAGACTAAATTAAATGCATGAATGCAAGAATGATATAAGTTTTCGAAGCTGCACATTAATAAGGACCTAATGATGTTGAATTATTAAATGGATTAGCTGTACTTTATTTTATTGAAAGAAATTATCAAAAATCTGTAGAAATCTTTAAGAAAGCACTTTAAATTGAACCTAAAAATTATTAGATTTGGAATAAATTAGGTGCTACTCTTGCTCATCTTGGTGAAGCTGATTAAGCAATGTTTTGTTATNTATAGAAGAGCAAAGAAAATATGAATAGGCAATGATGTAGTAATAGATGATGATGGATTTTTAATGGTAATAAGCAGAAATCTAATATTAAGCAGATTAAATGGCTTAAGAATATTTATTTTAAGAAGCTTATGAAAATGCTGAAGATTTATAAGTATAAAGTGAAAAATCATAAAGATTTGCTGATGATTTAGTTTAAGCATTAGAAAAGGATCCTGATCCAAGATTTTAATAATCAAAATTTTTAAGATTTATGAAAGATATTTAGAGTGGCAATCTAAAATTAATAGGAAATGAATTGATTACATAAAAGGGTGAGAAAGTAGAATAATCAGCATTAGAAAGAATTTAGACTCTAGAAGAAGGATGGGACTAAGCAACTAAGAATGTTGAATAAAAATAATCAGATTTAACAGAAGTAGAAGAGAAATTTTCAAAGATGTGGGAAGAAAAATTAGATAAATATGAAAGTGAATTATAAAATGAAGATTAATTTTAAAAAAAGCTTGAAGACACTTATTAATAAATTTTAAAAGAAATGGATACAGGAACAGATTTTGATAAAATGTTTTCTGATGCTTGGTAAGCAGCATCTGATTTATAAGAATTTGAATTATATAAAGATTCTAATGATACATATAGATTTTAGGAAAATAATAAATATTTGACAATGGATTTTCCTATTTAAGCTGCTTTAAATTTAGTACATTAAGGTTAAAATACAGAAGCAATACTTGCTTTAGAAGCTCATATTCAAAAAAATCCAGCAGATTCTAATGCTTGGAGAATTTTAGGTAGATTACATTAAGAAAATGATTAAGATTAAAGAGCTGTAGCTGCATTCTTAAATGCTATGAAATAAAATCCTAATGAATTAGATACTTTAAGTGCT